CTTTTTTAAAAAAGGGCATGGATAGCCTTTAGGAGGCTTATAGAGTGCTCCTGGGGGCTGGGAGGGGCAAAATTGAGCAAAAAACAGCCCATTTTTTGCTTATTTCTGCCCTCCCCAGCCCCCAGGAGCTCTCTGAAAGCCTCCTAAAGGCTCTGCACGGCCATTTTGGTGAAGGGGGAGGGATTTCGGGAGGCCCAAAATGCTGTATTCAGTGTATAAGACGCACCCAGATTTTCAGCCTCTTTTTTGAGGGGAAAAAGGTGCGTCTTATACTCCGAAAAATACGGTATACCATTCTCAACAAATTGAGCCAAGGGCTGGTAAGTTAATCTGTTCCTCCAAAACATACTGGGAAGTCCTGTAAGATATCCAAAGCAACCTGGATCCCAGCCTGGCTGTTAATACGATGGGCAACTCACCGCCGCGCACCCACCAGCGATGATCCCAGCGACCAGGACCGGAGAGTCGCCTCGCAGGGTGAATCCGAAGCCGTTTGCTCCGCGGACCAGGTGCACCGTCTGCGTGGGATGCCACTTATTCTTGGCGGAGAAAACGGAGAGGGGTCCCTGGGGGTGGAAAAACAGATGATGCGCTAGAAGACGGGGAGAGGTGGAGCTGGGTTGAGGAACCATGAAGGAAATTGTCCATACCGGACACTGGTCAAGGGAAGGGAATATTTGTAGCTTCAGGGGTGAATTGTGGGGTCTTTGTTGCTTTTTGAACTTGGCCGATTTCTTGTAGACGTCTCACGACCCAACTTGGGAACATCATCAGTGTTAGAAGGGAGTGTGGTTTGTGGAGAGGAAGAGGAGGAGGAGGAGAGGGAGATGGAGGACGATGACAGGTGTGGTCCTTCAACTTCTCTGAGCTTGGTTCCTTCCTTGGAGACATTTCATTGCCCAACTAGAGAACACCATCAGCTTTAGAAGGAGTGGGATTTGCAGGGGAGGAAGGAGGAGGAGGAGGAAGACTACAAGGTCCTTGGAGCTCTCTGAGCTTGCTTGATTTCTTGCGAACGTTTTATTACCCAACCAGGGAACATCATCAGTGCTAGAAGGGGGTATGGTTTGTGGAGAGGAGGAGGAGGAGGTGGTGGTGGTGGTGGTGGAGGAGGAGGAAGAGGAGAACTATGAGGTTCTTGAGTTCTCTAAGCTTGCTTGATTTCTTGCAAACGTTTTATTACCCAACCAGGCAACATTATCAGTGCTAGAAGGGAGTATGATTTGTGGAGAGGTGGTGGTGGTGGTGGTGATGGAGGAGGAGGAGGAGGAGGAAGGCTACGAGGTCCTTGGAGGTTGCTTGATTTCTTGCAAACGTTTAATTACCCAACCAGGGAACACCATCAATGCTAGAAGGGAGGGAGCATTGATCTCTAGAGATTAGAGATCTAGAGATGAACACCCTGATTAATAGTGGACCAACAATCAAACATTAAACAACAACCCAATCAAGGAAGCAGCAAGAACACTTCCACCAACACCGGCAGGCCAGGCCACGTGTATATAAAATAAGAGCAAACCCCAGGCCCTTCTTGCACTGATGATGTTACCTAGTTGGGTCATGAAACATCTGCATGCAAGAAACCATGCTCAGGGAGCACCAAGGACCTCACACTAACACTTGTCACTCTGAGGACTCTTCTCCATCAACTAACAAGACTCCAAGGCCCACTGAACCCTTGTGGTTAAGACCCTCTGATAGAACTTCATCTCCTTTTAAGTTCTCTCTGCTCATGGCTATTCCTGCTTAACTGCTCAGCAAATTCTGGAGGTTACTTACAATCTGGGCAGGAGGAAATAGCCAAGCAGAGGACAATTCTTCTCCTTTTGAGACACGATACCAAAACTTCACCTGCTTTGATCATAGGACACCAGGAGATACGGCCTAGGTCAAACTATTCTAACGGCAAAAGTTGAGGAAAAGTAGAATGGAAAGATAATGCATTGGCTGAACGGAGAGGCTCCCTGGAAAATCCTTGGAAGAGCTACCCACCGCTCTTGGAAAAGTTGAGGGAAGGATGGGCCGGATCAAAGAGACGAGGACACTGTCCTTGGAAGGGCTATTGGTTATTGCTGGAGACCAGCTGAGATGGTGGACATTGGTTCCTGCAATCTCCAGAGGTTAGAATGGACTTGAGGGCAGCTACGTCTATCAGGGAACTCTGATCTTACTCCAACCATACTCTTGTGTCCATCAACTTTCTTGGGTGAATGTGAGTTCTTGCGTTACGCAAGTTGGAGAAGCATGGAGTGGTGTGCACGAGTCTATTCTGCAAATCACAAGACCCACAAGGACTGTGGGTTCGATTGAGGGCGGGGCCCTCTAGTTGTCCACACAAACACAATTCTCTCACAGGAGGAACCATACTTACCAATCTATGAAAGATGTCTATCACTTTCACCATGGAGAAGTTGGGAGATTTGATTTCCGGTTTCTGGTGTGTTTTGGCTAGGAGGACACAAGAAGAGGGAGAACGTTACAACTTTGGAACCTGGTTTCTTCCATACTTTAGTTCACACTGAAGAGGGATTTAAGACACCCCCCCCCCAAAGTGTGCTTTCCATTCACCCAAATACAGAATTTGACTCTGGGCAAGTTCTAAGTCCTTCAGCCTAGATCCCAGAACGACCTAGAGCAGGGCTCCCCAATCTTTCGGACCTCAGGGACCACTGAATTCATAATTTTAAATACTGTGGACCACTAATATAATCTGCCTAATGACTGGCTGGATGGGCGTGGCTAGGTGGTCATGTGACTGGATGGGTGTGGCCCAATGGATGTCACTCAAGTCGAGAGGCGCCTCACTCCCCCTCCCCTCCCAGCCATTACTTGCCTGCCCGCCCGGCTCCTTAGGACCCCAATAAGAAGCT